CAGACCCCCCCCCGATAAGTTACAACAGCACCGCCGTCCCAAACGCCTTTATCAGGAAAAATTTCAGACTTATCTTGCTGTTTTTGTGTTTGTTCGGCGTTCAAGTCGTTGCCTTTTGCGTGTTTGTCTATGGAAGGACCGGTCATACATTCTGCTATGCCGCGTTGACTCACGGGCTTGACCTTCTTACGGCCCCTCATATCTATTTTATGATCGATAATACTAAGTTCTGCACACTACGGAGCAATCTGGCAGCAATGGACGTTTTTGGCTGAAGGAATGAAAATGTACGGATCGGCCTCACTTTGTTCCTTATTTCCAAAGGCCAAAAAGGCCTCTTTATTCCTTAAAAGTAATATATTACTTAAAAAAAAAACACTGCCTTCCATAAGAAAAGGGCCAGGTAACAGTGCCGGGTTGGTTTTCATGTTTCAACCATGTATCGTCTCCCATGCTCCATGGCTGACACCGCAGCAAGAGCCACAACGTCCCAGACACATTGTTGCACTGTTTGTGGGGCTTGGACAAGCCAAAGTTGTTCCCTTGAGACTGGCAATCCTATCGAAAGAGTGAGTTGATCTGCTACTGCCTGTGCCTCCGGACTTTTTTTCAGAGCCGCGCGTCCGTGCCGCTGGCACGGCCACTGCGGCCTAACGTTGCGCTCAGGTGCAGGGACTCCGTCTCTTCGTCTGGGTTGAGGAGCTTGTCTGAGTTAAAAAACACAGACAGGTGTATGACCTATAGAACAGATCCTGTTCAAGTACGGTCAAGAACTCTGTGTTTGACTTTGTAAAAGACGGCCACGACCAACTCTACACAATTCGGCGACGGTTATCATTGATGATAAATTATTACATTTCTAGCGTCTGTACCGATGACTTGCAGCTGCCGCAGCACTTGACTTGGTCAATTGTGGACTTTGGAATACCAGATATTGGTCCCATGTGGCCTAGCCTTTACATAATCTTCAGCATATTGCTTGTATTTTCCAGCATGCTTTCCAACTGCTGGCCGCGGCATGTCGGCGGCATCTCGCCGTGAAGCTCCAGGTCTACTTTTCCCAGCACGACCACCTCCCACCTCCGGAAACGCCAGCACCGTGGCCCTTCCTCCACAGAAGGAAAGGCGCACTCAAGCCAACACTGCCGCCACCGGTCCCACTCAGCAGCCAGCACCTCTCCTGCCCGCCACCCCCAACACCAACGCTCCCGAACAGCAGCCGGCAACACTCCTGCCCGCCGCCACCCCCAATGCCACCGCCAACCCGCAACGGAAGCGCACCAAGTTTACCAACAAGATGGATGCCGTTGGTGTCCCCCCGGGGTTTAAGCGGCGTCATATTCCCAACGAGGACATTGTTTGGCTGGCTGACGCTTGTGGTGGTGATTTCAAGAGCTGGGCTATGCACTTCAGGGCTCGACGACGGTCATCTGCTTTTTTTGCGACACACATAAGAAGGGTAACGCCACCATTTCCCGCACGAACTGGGATCGCTCAGCTTATACCCGGCACGAGGCCTCCCACTCCCACAAAGCGGCTGTAGACCAGTACGCTCAGGATCAGCAGCAGCAGCAAACTAACAAGCACCTGGCCATGACCGAGGTTGCCGGCAATGCCTTGTTGGCTCTGTTTGGTGGCGCATACATGGTCCTGTACCAAGCCATGCCTTTCACTCACTTCCCAGCGATCTGTAAATACATGGACTGGCTTAAAGTACCAAACATCACCGGCTTAACGAGGGTTTTTTGTGAAGCTGAGTACGTCGAGGTCCTTGAAGAAAGAGGTGCTGTAGCGCCGCGCCGCGGCGGGCGGCACCCAGCGGCAGCCCAAAACTTTTCGCGTTTGGGGGAACCGCTGGATGGACACACCGGGGCGCCCAGGATCGTTTATAGAAAGGAATCGATACCAGTAGATTGTCTTAAGCGAGATAGGATCGAGATTTGTGTGCGCGAGCGGAAGCAGAATCAGAGTTTTGTCCTGAGACCGTAGGCCCAGGTGTGGTTGTGAGCCTGATGTGAGCAGAGTTTTACTGCCTCTTGGCCACTAGGCCCAATGTCAGGTTGGAACCTGGTTGGCTGTTGACAAGATAAAATGGGTGGGAGTCATCCCCTCCAAGTGAAGGCGACATCCGTTACAAACTGCCTTGGCCGGTGCGTCCTGCTACTTTGCGCGGGAGTTGTATGATTGGAATATCCCTTAGAAAATATTGGCCTTATATATGGCAAACGCGCCCGCCATTCGTACAACTGTCGTATGGTCAACGTAAGACGCAGCTACCCTTTTGCGCAGCAACTGCCTCATTACGCAACGGTAGGCGTAGACTTCTCGTTGCGAGAAGGCGGGTTCTTGGACGAAGATGTTACTCGTTGTACTTGTTGTACTGTTTTCAGTATGGATATTACACTGAACTGCGTTCTGTTTTGGCTATTCGCCGTTTCGTGACCTTAGGTTCATACTATCATTATAAACCTTCTAATTTCTCTACAACACTTTGCGTAATCAGCGCAATGGCTGACCAAATCCTGCCCGCCAACATTCCAAACAACAACATCCAAAACAACCAGAACAATGTAGTCATTCCGCCTCCTGCGGCAGCCCAAGGCGTGCCAGCGCAAGTAGTAGAGCAGCTGATCCAGCATCAGAACTTCAATGCCGTCTTCACAAACATTAACGCGGGCAGGGAGGAGGCCCTGTCGAGAAGATACACAGACCTTGAGCAGAATCGGGAGGCGTCGTGCCCGTGGTTGAGTGCCTAAGTGTCACGGCCGGCCACTGGTCCAACTTGAAATAACCGGTCATTAGTGGGGGGGCGCAGGGGTTAAGCCGATCAGCAGGGAAAGCCGGGGGATACTAAGCCGATCAGCGGGGCAGTGTAATCGAGGCGCAAGCCGCGGTTCGGAGTGGTGGTTGATGCAACTACGGTGGTAGATAGGCAGCACGGTGGCAGCGTCGGTTGGGGCCAGACCCGGTGGCATCGCTGCTGTGGTCCGTTTAGCGTTATCATAGTGTAACAATGAGGACAAGAACTACCAGTTTACGCAGCTCCGGGCCAGGTTCATGGCGGCCAACGGAAACTGACAGGAAACTAGTACAGGATATTTGCCATAGACCGAAGCTAGATCGTAAGACACAAGCTGCCTGCTTTAACGTCGCCAGATCGAAACATACATTCGTCAGTCTTTATGCGGTGCGCCGTAAGTATATGACCGTTCTCAACGCGTTTATAGTTTCTAATTAATGATATGGCAGTATTCGGCCTCCTGCTATGCCCGGAACAATACGCAACCAAAGCCGTCAAACTCAGTTCTCTATGACCAGCTGGAGGTCGCTACAGCTGTAGCGTCCCCCCCCTTCAGAAACCTGGCCACCTGGCCGGGGCTAACCTCCGCTAGGGTCCTCAGACGGTAGTGTGGGATTCGGGGCGGTGCTGCGTTCCGCCGCCGTTGTAAGTTCTTTGCCGAA